CACAAAGAGGGCTAAAGAGCAAGTGCCTAGTTCTGAGTGTTTTGTTATCAAACTTGACTTTCTTCATTCTGAAAACACTAACAGTAAAACAAAAATGATTTCGTATAATATGCATGGCAAGATATTGGAAGAGTTTCGAAATTTTTCATGTGTACATTTTATAACAGTAACTAGGAATGCAATACAGTTTTTATATTAGCTATTGCTAATGAAGCACAATTTTCGTAACAGTTAGGGGGAATAAAGTGTGTTTTTTATAATAGTCACTGGCGTGGCCTGGTGGTTAGGGTGCTAGACTCGCACTCTGAAGGTCGCGAGTTTGAATCCCCGTTGCCGAACATGGTTACCGATTAGGCCAGGCACTGGGGTGTAAAAGTTATTGAGTTACAAAAATACCGGTCGACCCAAAACTAGTTGGGGTTAAGGTCGTAACAGAAAAACAAACAAACTGAGAATACAGTACAGTTTTTGTAACAGTTACTGAGAATACAGTACAGTTTTTGTAACAGTTACTGAGAATACAGTACAGTTTTTGTAACAGTTACTGAGAATACAGTACAGTTTTTGTAACAGTTACTGAGAGTACAGTACAGTTTTTGTAATAGTTACTGAGAATACAGTACAGTTTTTGTAATAGTTACTGATAATATAGTACAGTTTTTGTAATAGTTACTGAGAATGGAATATAATTTTCATAACAATTACTGCGAATACAATAAATTTTTGATAACAATTACTGAGAATACAGTAAAATTTTTATAACAGCTTTTAGAAATACAGTACATTTTTTTATAGCTGTTACTGAGAATACAATACAGTTTTTATAACAACTACTGGACATACAGTACAATTTATATATTAGTTATTGAGAACACGGTACATTTTTCATAAGTATTACAAGAAGCTATTGTGTATTCTCATAAACAGTTACGAAACTTACTGTATTCCCAGTAGCTATTATAAAATTGTATTTTGTTCTCATTAGCTAATATAAAATTGCATTCTCTTTCATTTACTGTTATAAAACCATGCACAGTTTAGAAATGGCAGGAAAATAACAATGGTCGTTTTCGGTTAAGCAGCCAAATGAAGATACATTATAAACAGTATTTACATCAGCAATATTTGGATCAAGACAACAGTGCACATTCTTCCCTCGTACAGTTTTTGTCTCATGTTAATTCGCACAAAACTTTCTATTATAAAAACTTAAAAGAAAAATAATTTAAAAATTATCATAAACTAAAGCTTAAAATATTGACACGAAAACTTCAAGTGACTTATAAGCAACGCTAGTGAGTTATTAGAAGAACGTTATACTGCTCACTCTTCTCTTTGGAATACATTAGAAGCGTATTAGTGAGCGCTAACCTGGAGACTACACCATTTTGCACTAATTGGTAATTGCTTTACTTTTCGTAAATGTTCTTCAGCTAACCTGATATGTGATTCAATTATAAAAGTGGAGAATAGAAACAGTAAATTGAGAACGTTTCCGATTTTTTACCTTAGGCAAATATTCACTCTTGTTTTTCTTTTTTTGCAACACGTCTTCATCTCGTTTAGTTTCATTATGCAAGGCTAAGGCTTCAGGACATTGACCTGTGGCTCGCTCCCACGCTAATCAATTAATGAACAGAATCAACGTAATCAAAAACTAAAAACATCTTTCAGAAAACGTTTCCTGTTCTTGTTTTTGTTCAAGCAGAAAACACATGATTAATAACTATATTAAAGAAACAAATCGATGTTTTTTCATGTCTTGTCATGTATGTAATCATGAAAACTAAATACTATTCAATGCCTTTTTTATGACATATCTTACCAAAAGTAAAACGCTGTCTTGTCATGTATGTAATCATGAAAACTAAATACTATTCAATGCCTTTTTTATGACATATCTTACCAAAAGTAAAACGCTGTCTTGTCATGTATGTAATCATGAAAACAAAATACAATTCAATGCCTTTTTTATGACATATCTTACCAAAAGTAAAGCGCTGTCTTGTCATGTATGTAATTATGAAAACTAAATACTATTCAATGCCTTTTTTAATGACATATCTTACCAAAAGTAATACCTTGTTGTGTGGTTGTATTGTTTCCAAAACACTTATTCGATCACCTCATCGTCATAAATGAAGGTTACATTTGCCTAATTAGTGTTAACATAGGCTCTAAGCTGCTATTCACTTTTTTATGTTAACGAACTTTATAGATTTTATTAGCATCCTTCACATCCACAATGTGGTGATAACAAGTTTCATGTTATAAGCATTGACAACAAGTACAGTCAGAAACTATTGCTATTCACAAGGAAATATCTTATAATTTTAGTTCGTCTTACTATAATGGACGTAGCGTGTATGTCAGTATCTATGTATTTAACCAAAACTCCTGCGCTATCTACTGAATGGCACCACAAACAAAAATCCTTAAAAATTTTCACAATTTGGGTATTCAAGATTCAGAAAATTAGATAAATAACTTTATAAAAGTACTCTCCTCACAACAAGAACACGACTTTCGCTAGGACTGTAAGTGAGGGTTTGATTTTATCTTTATTGGTGTAATTTTTAAATGTAGTACTCAGAAAACTGGAGTTCGTAAAAAAAACTATTATTTTTTCAATAAACGGCACCACTTTTAATATATGAAAACATTACAGTTTATATCAATAAAATTTGTGAAAACGTTGGCTCTGTACATTGAATCATTTTGATGCAATGAGTTACGTATTCTAAAGAACATAATCTGAACATTTTTCCTGTACAGTACTTCCCAGAAAAAAAAACAACCATTTTTTTAGAATATGCTCACTTTTTCTAAATTTATTTCAATGAGGTATGACTACTACAATTAGTATTTACTAGCACAAATAGCCACTTCTGCCCGTAGGGTGGCGTTTCTGTTAGTTATTTGTAACTATATTATCTTGTTAGAAACGTTTGGAGACGGCTTAATGGGTGATGAAGAAAACTTTATTGTAAGTGTACAACGTTTCGACAAGGTTATGTAATCATCAGGTACAAGTATTTTACATAGACACAGGAATGTATAGAGAGAGTATAGAACAAAGAAGTCACATAATCGGAAATTGCTTAACAAATTACTAAAGGTTTCTTGGTATCCCGGGGTGTTGGTTTAGAGTGGAGCTGTTTTCTGAATTAAGATAGCTTCCTTTACTTTGCGTTTGTTGATGTTTGGTTCTATGTTTAAAATTGGAGTATTTTGTATACATATATAGCCCATTGTGTAACTTTGCGCTAAGATGCACGCACATGTTTAGTACATTATTGGAAGTAAAATGAGCATATTATGGGATTTCTCCCCTTCTATTATATGAAAATTAACTACACAAAAGTACAGTCATGTGCAACCTATGACAGTACCACACCAGTATAATGCCCATAAAAGTACAGGCAGTAATACTGTTCTCAATCGAGTCGAACATGCAGAGTGAAATATGCTGGAAGACCATCACAAGCATCGTGTGTATCCTAGTCAATGATGTATAAGATGTACATAAAACTAATTGTCATCCTGACTGAACAAGAATATTTTAACCCATCATGTTGTACCGTCAGAAACAAGATCTATTCGACAAGGTTTCATCTTCCAGCCACACAATGATCCCAAGCATGAAGCAAATATGATAAGAGATACTTGAGATAAAAAAACCAATATAACATTCGCTACAATGGTTTGGCTTGCAAAAAGTTCTTATACGAATATCATTAAAGTTGCATGGGCTTATATGACATCTGAGAAGGTCAAAAGGCAACCGAACAACGTGGTTGAATCGTGGATAGTAGTACAGGAGATTTGGAACAATAGTTCATTATCATTCATTGGCAAACTTATAATTGCATGAAAAAATATTAATTGCTCTGTTTAAAATAAACATAAAATACCAGAGCATTGTACAATTTTCATCTGTATTTTATCTAAAAATGTTTTTGTAAAATAATCAATAGTAATTACCGTAGTCTTTTGTATATTTATCATCTGTATTGCCAGTTGGTTAGGGCGCTCGAATCGCAATCTGTAGGTAGCAGGTTCGAATTCATGTCACACCAAACATGTTCGCCCTTTCAGCCGTGGGGGCGTTATAAAGTGACGGTCAATCCCACTATTCGTTTGTAAAAGAGTAGTTGGCGGTGGGTGGTGATGACCAGCTGTCTTCCCTCTAGTCTTACACTGCTAAATTAGGAACGGCTAGCACAGATAGCCTTCTTGTAGCTTTTCACGAAATCCATACAAAATAAACAAAAAACGCTTCCATAATTAGTTACAACATCGTATATTTATATATATATGTATATGTGTGTGTGTGTGTGTGTAAGCATAGGTGTATGTATATACCTGTGGGATATAGTTACAAACAGATTACAATATGTTTCAATAATTTACTCCTTGGTTAACATACAGACCGTTCCACCATAGGTGTATGTATATACCTGTGGGATATAGTTACAAATAGATTAGAATATGTAGGCAAATTTACTCCTTGGTTAACATACAGACCGTTCCACCATAAAACAAAAGTTACTTAAAACAAAATACCATTTTATATCAATTTTACAGTAATAATCTTGAAGTAGGTTTTTATTTTTCAAAAATATTAAAATGTGGTTTGTATTATGACCTTTGTGTTACTTGAAAGATAGATGTAAAGATGTATTAGAGTTCTGATGTTTAATTAAATCAACATAACTATCATTTCACAACTTCTGAGAAATCCACAATTACTTCACATATAATCCCATCCACTCCGAAACACTTCATCTCTGAATATTAGGATAATTATCATAATAATAATAAATTAGTCATTTTGTTTGTACGCCTCGACATTCCATACATACGTTGGTTTATGATTTTGTATATGAGAGAGCTACCTTACTTGATACATAATATCTTTCATTAACTCCGTTTGCATGGGCGCACGTGTATGTATCAAAATGCTAGTTTTAAGAGAATTTCATTTTTGTCGTTCTTAGACCGATATCTATGGTTTATCGTCGGTGGCTCTGTCGGCCTGGTTATAGCTACTGTCTGTATTATTACTGTGTGGTTGTACTTCAGGCGAAAATCGAGAAATCATCTAAAATCATCAGAATCCCCTTCTTATTCAACTCAGGAAATCTGTCACAACGGAATGTAAGTCATCTTTGTATATTTTCTTAGTTGTAGAAATATTTTTCTGTTATTTCTTACCAAATTTTTCTCATGGAATGGCGTTCAAAGAAGAATTAATAACTAAAAAAACGTAAGTCTTATTATTAGATTATCCTATTTGAGCTCGAAATCTAATCTCATCTGCAACTACCATAAAGATTTTGTTTCGAAATCTTATGCCCCCCCAAAAAATAGTTTGACAAAATTTAAAATCTCACATTCGCTCATATTTTCTTTTTTTAAAAAGTAAGAGTATAAATAATTAGAAAAATATCTAGCAAAATAGTCCTAACAGGAGCTTCTAAATGATTGAAAATACTGACAAATGACAATGGCCCCCCAGTGGCACAGCGGTATGTCTGCGGACTTACAACGCTAGAATCCGGGTTTCGATACTCGTGGTGGGCAGAGCACAGATAGCCCATTGTGTAGCTTTGTGCTTAATTACAACTAAACAAGCAAATGACAATGAATTGTGAAATGTGTCGTTAAAACTTCGTTTTCCTGACTACTTTTCAGTAGAAATCTCAGGAGACAAAAAGTTAAAGGTTAGCAAATATTTGAAATAAATATTTGGTCCAAAAAACTGGCTAATTAAACTGAACCGTTGACAAGCTTTAAATGGAAACAAAAAATTTGTAATGACATGCTAGTAATTAGAGGGGTGCTCATGCTGAACAAATTGTCCGCGCCGACATTTTATTAAACTGTCTTAATTATTTTAAATAATATATCTTTAACGTGTGAAAACTTAACCTAATGATTAATTAATTACTACGAGGTATTGGACCAAAATATACCCACTTTAGTGAAAAAAAAAACCAACAAACTATGATCTAATACCAGTATTGTGGGTAGAAAAAGCACCAATGTTGGTGATCTATGGGTAAAGGAAAACTGAATTATTATGTTATTTATACTTATGTTCCTTTTTCCTTGTAACTGTGTCGTTATTGATTCGCATTTAATTATGTTTCACGTATTAATATCATCATTAGTTTCATCTGATTTATGAGTTCTTAAATTAATGTATAGGATGTCTAAGTAATTCAGTTTTTTTTGTTTTTTTTTTCAAAATCTAACATATTTCATCTTGGTATTTTTTTACTTGTGAAAAAATGTGTTTGAGATGATAAGAACTAATCACTAATGGATTTCAGCATAAATTGCATAAACACAAAAGGCTTTGGTTGACATGCGTTGCCATGAAATATGTAGTATACAAATCTTAGTATGTTAGCGAGGTAAATGTTTTACAATACTGTATCTTATGTACTTTCTTCTGAAGACAAAAATTTAGGACATACATGCACGCACTCTATAGGGAACGGGTTTCTGAAAGAGTAAAGGCTTTCACTTAAGGGACCAGTATGGTTCTTGCCGTGTAAGAGTAACATATTTTCTTTCTCTCTAAGATTAACTATCCAAGTCTGATTACTTCAAGAGCTTAGGGACGATTTCCTAGAAATGTCAAGTATACAATTGGACAGCATGAGGTAAACTGCGCATGCTCTGATCACATCGTGTGGGTGGTGCGATGTGACTTTTGTAAATGTTTTTCCTTGTCTCGAATACTAAATATTCTTACTAGGAGCAAACTAAGTAGACTCGTAGATTAAAAATCTACAAAGGTAGAAAATTAAAATTTATTTTTTGAAATGTGAAAAATAAAGACTTCATTTCACGTTCTTTAACTTTTCCTATTACAATAATTTACATAATTAATCATAAGCGAAACGTTTTTTTTTTTTTCAGTTTAGAGGCATAACAATAATCATTTGTTATATTTTTATACGCCACTAAATGGTACATGGTGAATTAATTCTCTTCTTGAAATTTAATCACGCACATAATCGCCCAACAAGTGTTGAAAAAAAGGTATAATTTATGATATTACCTACATATTTCAGAGAACGTGCAGCAGTCATAACGACACTTCAGAATTAACAGAACTAAGGGGCATCTTTATAAAAACAAAACGGATATCCACCAAAATGTCAAACGCATCGTTAGTGAAATATGCTCTTCCTACATAGTAGACCCACGGCTTTATCCTCTGAAACCAACATGATTATACACAAGAGGTCTATAGAAGAGATAATGAAAATAATTTTCAGGAGTTTTAACTTGAAAAATGTATTCAAGAACACCCTTTCTTCTAGAAACATTTTGTCAAACCCCAAGTCGTCCATTCCAAAACACGTTAAAGAACGAACCGTGGATGAGACAATGTGAATGCTTAGCATAATATAAGTGAAACTAACTGTCAGTTGGTGCTCGTATTAAGGAACATAAAAAAAGATACAAAAACTGCAACATGAACATTTCTATTATATTATTGCACGCTATATGAAAATACGAAAACATTTTCTTTGATAACATCAGTATTATAGATAAGGCTGAATACACCAAGAAGCAGTTGCCATTTAGTCCATGTTAGTAAGCTATCTCGTGTTATTGACCAAAACTTTGGAACCCAGTCAGTGGTTGTTTGGTTATCTTTATCAATAACAACAAATAATGTTTCTAAGAATTGGATTAGAGGTTAAGCCTTATTTATTTTGTAATTTTTCATAAATATTGTCATATTACACGGTATTATTATTTTCCTTATATATACGTATATGACCAAAAATGTTTGTGTATTTATATATATGTATTATAGTTAAAATAATTTACACACAATACAGAGGTCGTTTCATATATGTTTTTACTGTTGATATATGATGCGTTGGGATGAAATTACTGCAAAACACGGTCACTTACGATCTAATAGAAGAAAGTCGAGGAGCCGAAAGATCATAGTTTTATAAAAAATAATATATTAAAATATTTGTATAATATGATTAAAATTAAAGTTTGTTCTTCCTAGTTTTTTAAGGAGGTTTTTTCAAACAACTTCATATAACTACATACTTAATGCTTTAGAAGTCACAGTTATTGATTATTAGATGCCAGTATAAAACTTTGGCTAATGATTAAATATTTTTAATCCTCTGTCAAGTTTGGCATCTTCTGGATCAGAAGAAATCAGCGACCGCGGACGGAGCTGGAACGTGGCGCCTTATTCACGTGAAGTTGGTCTCTTTCAATCGGCCTCTATCGATGTGCCAAGCACTTTTCGAACAAGCTCCGAAAGTATTCAGCCCAAAGCGAAGTTATCTCGTTGGAATACTGTAGGAATTACACATTATCAGCCAACCATTATTGGAACAGTTCAACCAGATCTCTACAGGTTTGTTGAAAATATCAATAAGTCTTGTAAAATGAATCTACCTAAAAATGTTTGAGTGAAAAATAAAACCAGTGGGTAATTCATTAAGAATAATTTCCGAGCTACACTGAACAAAATGTGATGTAGTAAATTAGAAGCTAAGCTAAATGTATATCCAGTTTTACAGCATATCAATAAGTTGATACAATGTGAGTAATGTTAAATGCTTTATTTTTTGTGCTTATGAGATAACCTTTATTATTTAAGTTAAAGCAAAATTCTGACCTTGTTTTATTGCTCAACCATTTTAGGGTGGATTTCACGTATTTTGTGTGTGTTACATCGATTCAAGACACTTACACTGTAATCAGTATTGTTTAACTAGACTTTATAAGGGAAGCAACACGTGCGGTAAGTAAGTAAGATATTGCTAGTAATACTTACATTATCATGTGGACTACATGGGATTAGAAAGTGTTAACCTTTAAGGATGACAATGTGTGAGAAAGAGCCAGAAGCAGCAGTGACAGTAGATGGCCTTCTCGTTATAAGCTGAGCTATGCGAAATGAACCTTGGGAAAAAGAGTGACCAGTGAAAGAGGATGAGGGTATTTTTCAATTTTTATCAATCGATGTTGTTGTATTTTTCATTCAATGCTTATATGCCAAGTAGTTCCTCTTACCGGTGAATAATGGCGAAATAAAAGTTATTTTGAAAGCCATCATAAAGCAGATTTTACATTTTTGACAATCAAACTTTGCAAATCGTACACACTGAGCTTTACGCTTTACATTCATGAACAATTGTATCATCTTTTACTGTTATTGCTGGATAAAGACTGGGGATTGAAAATTTCACGTGGTTGTAGAATCAAAAGGAGGCAAAACTAGTCAATGAAATTTGCAAACTTGTTATAAAGGTCCACTGTATTTAGGATAAAGCAAAACATTTGTAATTTTTAAATCTGGAGAAAAGTAATAAACAAGCTTATTTCATGTATAATTAGCAAACTTTGTACACAGAAAATTCTACAGTAGTTTTGTTTATTCTTTTTCTTTTGGCCGTAAAACTACCGCTTTCTTCAATAAGTTTAGTAATCTTCCCTGTTTACAAAATAAACTAAGCTTAATAGTTTTGAAGACATTTTGACAAGACTCACCAGACCTAAGGAACATGACTGCATGAAGATAAATGTCGCATGGTCCTTCAGCCATCTGACAATAACTTATTATGAATGAAGTTACATAACGAAAAATCATTCAATATAAAAAACGTGTTTTGTGGTTTACAAAGAACATTTCAGGTACGGCATTGTATATAAACTTTGTTTAAAGAGGCTGGTAGTAGGCAAAACGGAAGGTTTGAATTATATATATATATATATATACAAATACATTTATGTGTGTGTGATCGTATGTGGGTTGATTATGTATATATATATATACACACACATCAGTTTCAGGTAACATTGCCAAAAAAAAGACATATCGTCGTACATGCAGAACAGAGTAATAAATCTATGGGAACGATTAAAAGGTACCCCAGTAAGAGAAGACGAACCCACATAGTGGTAGGAAGACATCGTTTATCAGATTTAATTATTCGTAAGAGTTATTTGTGAAAAAAACTAACACAAAAATTAGAACTAAATACTAGTGCCCATCTCCAGAGCATCCTACATCTAAGATTACGTTATTACCTTATTATAATGTCTGAAGCCAGTTGTGAGAAGGTAATTACTAATGAAGCATAAAAACAGGAAAACAATAAAAAATAAGAGGTTACTCAAACCGACTATTGGGAGGGGGTAAAAAATTTATTTATTGAACTTGGCATTCTAATCCCATAATAAACCCTCTCTATAGGAACAGCATAATAAAGCCTAAAATTTCTAGGTCAATAGACACTAGTACTGGAAGAAAGAATACCGAGTTTATCCTCCATAAAATATGTAGTTGTATCAATAAAATTAAACAATATCCTGTGTATCAGTTAGTGTAAAGCTACAGTATATGAAACAAGTTCTCAGAAGTCTTGAACATTGAAAAACTAACTTCGACACATTTATGCATCCTTCTTATGAGACATGTTATTTTTCAAGTCAACGTAAGATTAATTAGTGACTAATTTGGCGAAACTAATTTTTCGAATTTTAGAACATTAACTGTGGTTTTCACTACGTAGTTTGTTTCTCTAATTTCTGATACTTTGTTATATTAACTGTGATTTTTCCCTTGGTAATACTGTTGGTCCTAAATAACCAGTTCCATATCATATTTATGTGCTAGTTATTAAAGTTAACCTAGACGTGTGTTATACATCAAATGAGTCAATGTCTTTCTGCAAGAAGTTTCAAGAAGCAATTTTATTTATCTAATAAAATAAAAAGTGCTCTCCCCCAGTGACTCAGCGGAAAGTCTTAAGGCTTAAAATACTAAAAACCGAGTTTCGAAATCTGTGATGGGCACAGCACAGAAATGCCATTGTGTAATTTTGTGCTTAACAACAAACAAACAATAAAAATTGTTTGCACACACACACACACATAGATAATTTTTAGTTTAGTTTTAAAGCTATAATCAAAGTTTTTTTTCGTTTCGAATTTCGCGCAAAGCTACACGAGGGCTATCTGCGCTATCCGTCCCTAATTTAGCAGTTAAGACTAGAGAGAAGGCAGCTAGTCATCACCACCCACCGCCAACTCTTGGGCTACTCTTTTACCAACGAATAGTGGGATTGACCGTCACATTATAAAGCCCCCACGGCTGAAAGGGCGAGCATGTTTGGTGGGACGGGGATTCCAACCCGCGACCCGGCGGACCATAATTAAAGCTATCGGATATTCAAATCTTCAACGTTTCCTTCCAACGCTTAATTTCTATGTAACAAGTTGTATGCTGTCTGACGAAAGAAAACTACCCGCAACTTTTCTAAGCGAGCATCAACTATCATTCCCATCTTTACGTCGTATGGATAATTGCTCTTTCCAGCTTTTTGCAGATTAACTGTAATAAAACTGTACTACCTGTATTTAAAATCCTTAAACTATCACCTGAGTTATCGCATAATCAGTCTGTTTTATTTTTTTAAACATACAAATATTTAGATTAGTAATCGTACGTGTGTAGGATACCAAATATGGTGGTCAATCGATGTATAAATGTTGTTTAATAACAGAATCTTAACTTGTTATTTTGAACATAAAATTAAAAATTTAACATTTACCTTTACTAACTTCTTTTCTGCCATGTATATTACAGTTTGCTTAAGTAAATCCCAGAAATACTTACACTTCAGGTTTTATGAGTCACATTGAATTTCTGTCTGGTTTTAGAAATTATTAAATCTTATTGTTCACATTTTATACATTGTTTGATACTTAAATTTACGATACATTTCTGTACGATTTTCATACAAGTATCTTTTGTACTTAGAAATAACATTAAATTTTGTAGATGAACACTTTAAAATATTTTCAACTTCTGCAACTGAAGACTGTGTTTACCATTTTTCTGAGGATAAACTCCAGATAGCATTATTAATTTTGTAGTATTTGATAAGTATTTGACGTTAAGGTTAGATTACCAAGATGAAACATTTCTAATTTAAGCTGATTACGACACATACCCTAGTGATACTCGGCGAAAATATTCATAATCTATTCATCCAACAATGTGACTGATATTCGCATTTCAAATATGACTCGAAGAATCAATATCGCTAAGACGGCCCATTCCTTTATCTCTATGGTCTTAATTAAGTCGGGTTCAAATCCCTGTCCCACCAAACATGCTCGCCCTTTCAGCCGTGGGGGCGTTATAATGTGACGGTCAATCCCACTATTTGTTGGTAAAAGAGTAGTCCAAGAGTTAGCGGTGAGTGGTGATGACTAGCTGCCTTCCCTCTAATCTTACACTGCTAAATTATGGACGGCTAGCGCTGATAGCCCTCGTGTAGCTTTGCGCATAAATTCGAAAAACAAACAAACTTAATGAAGTTTGAACCGCGCCATCTGGCAGCTGGTTTGACAGCATCCACGAAGCCGCCTATATAACCACGTGCTTTATGACACGTTCAGGAATTTATAGCTTAGAATTAGGATTTTTTTTTTGTTTTGTTTATTTTTGACAATAGATCATATTAACAGGGGAAATAATATAATATTTTTGTGCTGTTCACGTTTCAGTATGTATTAGTTCAAATATATGTCCAAATTTAATGGTACATAATTTAAAAGTTTGTGAGTCGTAAAATAAATTCCTGTAACATCATGTCAAGTGAATTTAATACAGGAATAGGTGCTATGTTCAGGCACTTAAATTATTTGCGGTAAATATGGAAAGAAACATGTCAGATATTATTCCATATGAGATTGAATATTTTTCATTAAAGTTTATAAAATAGGCATACATATTAGCATAGTTGTCAATCATAAAATTATTAAACTTATTAATACAAACAAATTATTCAATAGAGATATTGGTGATACACAAGATTAAGTGCACAGTAAAGCATGAGACATGTAGGGTACACTTTATAAACGATGTTATCTTCGAAATCTTACGATCCAGTTTTTTTTTCCAGGACAGCTTTAAGAATGAGAGAAGTTAAATGTTTCAAAAGTTGGCACAACTGTACTTTCATGTAGAATCTAATAAGAATACAACATATTTGAGATATGTTTCTGCTCTACAGTTAGCTAGTTTGTTTTTACACTCCTCACGAGCAAGAGACACCAGTGATACTAGGGCACCGTATGAGTTCACGACGACAGGGAGAGCAACTGTGAAAGTTATGTTTATTGTATTTGTTTGTAACGTATCTGTTAGGATATTAGAATTGAATTACCGTGCTGTTTCTTGGTGGGAAAGTAAAGTGCGTGGGAAAAGTTGTGAGTCGTAACAAATATGAGAAAGAAAAAGTAATGCTAATGATGTAAAGCAAGGAAACCGTATTGCAATAGATAATTAGTCTGTTTATTAAAGAAATAAACCAAAACTGGGTAGGACGTCGCTCACTTTGCGAGCTTTTATTCATATAAATGGTGAACATATTACATGTGTATACTGTATAAACATGCAGCCTACTTGAACATAAGCCACCGGCAGTTATACCAAACCAGCCGCTTGGAGCACTGTGGTTAGGCTGACTAATACTTTTCAGACCTAGTGTACTCTCCCTGCATTACATAGTAGTTACTAAACGCTACCTTAACGACCTACCATTAGTTTTGTAAATGTGTTGATTTCGAATCTTGTCGACATCACTGTGTTATGCTTTAGGGTCTACACACTTTTTTATATTTAGATCTAATCGAATAGAAATTTCCGTGCTTAAATTCTTGCTTTTGTGTAAGCATTTGGTTTCAAATGTGTTCTGAGAAATGAGTATTATAAATTTATTTCTCTGCATCCTACAATATCTTACTATCTAGCAACCAAGGCCTATTCTAATGTGAAGTTACATACGATATGGTTTGTTACCAAAGTGATTTATGCAAGTAGTAAGTAAGAGTTTGAGCGTGGTGTCTAAGCTTGAAAATATTTGTATTTTTCAAAATTCTAAAAGGAAGCGAATCCCACTTTCACATGAAATCTGCCGTTATGTGTAGCGGAATGAAAATGATTTCCCGCCTATTTTGCTGGTTGTTTTGTCTTATCTGCCATCTAGTGGTAAGCTGTTGAAGTTTTATACTATTTTCTAGTTTCTCGGTTGACATTTTGAGTACCACATTAACTTCATGTTTTGCTACTCTGGTTAAATCAATGAGAGTGAATAAACAGTGCCCAAGTGTTTAAGCTCTAGCGAGGTGGGGATTGCGTGTCAGTTTTAAAATCGGAGTGAACATAAGTGCCAAGCAACGTGACATATCTAAATACCTTCCTAAAGTATTACCAAGTAAGAGTGTGGTGCAAGAAGGAGAGGCCGGTTCGATTAAGTACCCTCTCTTACAACTCCATTAGGGTAGCTATGAAAATTCTTGGAACAAGCCCTGGTACTAACTATCTTGAGCATGATGCTCACTTTCAATTCACTGCAGTTGTGTTTCTGAATCAAAACTTGAAAAGTAGTTGACAGTAGCAGTGCTTGGGGTTTCCATTAATGTGTCAGCTTACTTTTTCATCATAAGTAGAAATGAGACAAGTACATGCGTTTTTGATTCCACTGTTCTACGCACTTGCTGCTTCAATTCTTGAAACACAAACACATGGTTTTGGTGATTTCACTGTTGAAATACAAATACATGCTATTTCGTGGCTCCACTGTTGAAACACAAAGACATGCTTTTGGTGATTCCACTGTTGAAATACAAGTACATGCTATTTCGTGGCTCCACTGTTGAAACACAAATACATGCTTTTGGTGATTCCACTGTTGAAATACAAATACATGCTTTTGGTGATTCCACTGTTGAAATACAAGTACATGCTATTTCGTGACTCCACTGTTGAAACACAAAGACATGCTTTTGGTGATTCCACTGTTGAAATACAAGTACATGCTATTTCGTGGCTCTACTGTTGAAACACAAATACATGCTTTTGGTGATTCCACTGTTGAAATACAAGTACATGCTATTTCGTGGCTCCATTGTTGAAATACAAGTACATGCCTTTCGTGGTTCCACTGTTGAAATGAATTAATTAAAAACTGAAATTTTGCATTTTTCTCCCATAAGTGTCCCCCCCCATGTTGGACAGCGATAAGCTTACAATCTTAAGACGCTAAAATCCGGTGTTCGACTCCCCGCGGTTGACACAACAGATAGCCCAGTGTGGCTTTGCTCTAGAAACCAACCAACCAACTCCCATACGTGAGGTTGAGCAAGCAAAGTTACAACGTTAATCCAAAAACATTAGTAGTTAAACTTAAATTGAGGAATAAAACATTAGCAGGTATTACTAAATAACATCTAAAATAATCGAAAACATCTAAAAGAGCATAACCAATATCTTTTTGATTGTTCGCTTATTATAATTTCGATATGTCAGCCTCATCCGTTTCGTAGGTAACATGTGACGTACACACCGGAGAAGAAAATTCTACCTTGCCATGTCAGTTTGACTAGTTTAAAACTGTACATTCTCTGTTGTCGTTGTAAGTTTATTATGTATTTGAATGAGCAGGTGTAAAAGCTCTCTCTAAAGTACAGGTTTATAACATACCTGACACATATTCTGAATTCTGATTACATAAAATAGTATATGTGTATAAAACTCCCCTGGTGGAATTTTGTAAATCCATGTTTAAGAATAGCATTTTACAGAAAGACAAAATGACTTGCGTTGCTACCATGACAAGGAGCCAGGGGAGCCAGAGGGGGGCCACAGCCTCTCCATTTTTTTTAACAGGGAGAGACAGTTTATGCGTATCCCCAGTTTACACTGAAAAAACAAAATGAACCTTAAACAAAAACTTGTGAAATATTCACTGAGTGTTAGAATGTTCTCTCCGTTTACAGAAATGCTCAGCAGTAGCAGAGTTACAAGAAAATGAAAGGCGGTACATGATATATTCTTGATATGTACTTTAATTATGTTTATAGAAGTATTACCATCAAATGAAATAATTTATTAATATTTAACCAACTTTGTCGTAAGCTAGTAGCAACATAACTATCCTTAAATTTTATTTTTATTCACAATTGTCTCATATTGCGGGCTCGCCCTCTTTTTCATCCTAGACGGCGCTTCTGTCAGACATTGATCAATTGTTCTTTTCTACTATTTGATTCAATTCGTCACGAAGAAAGGAAAATAATATTCTGCTGATAAACGTTTTTTTTTGTTGTTTTTTTCAAATACTCTTCATCTTAAAGTTAAAGATCGTTAATATCTATCACCGCCAAAAAGTAAACTTGTTCAAAAACAGGATCAACTGGAAAATTTATTTGTGTTAGAAAAGTTTTTTTTTTGTGTGTGTGTGTGTAAGTGCAACTGAGAGTAAAATATTTATTATTGTTTCTTGTTTATGTTATAGAAATGTCAAATTATGGTAGAATTAGTTTGTTTGTAATTTCGCGCAAAGCTACACGAGGGCTATC